ATGATTGTTGGTGCGCTCGGGGGTATTAATGTCCCCTCTGAACAAAGATGCTGCTATCAAACATGTTTCACTTTAAAGTGTGTAGAGTGAGTCAAGAAACTGTTTAAGTATGGTAACTGACCACCAAACGTTTAGCGGAGACAGTCGTACCATGCCCCACCAACCTACCCTAATCAACTGACCACCAAACGTTTAGCGGAGACAGTCGTACCATGCCCCACCAACCTACCCTAATCAACTGACCACCAAACGTTTAGCGGAGACAGTCGTACCATGCCCCACCAACCTACCCTAATCAACATACCACCAAACGTTTAGCGGAGACAGTCGAACCATGCCCCGCCAACCTACCCTAATCAACTGACCACCAAACGTTTAGCGGAGACAGTCGTACCATGCCCCACCAACATACCCTAATCAACTGACCACCAAACGTTAAGCGGAGACAGTCGTACCATGCCCGCCAACCTACCCTAATCTACTGACCACCAAACGTTTAGCGGAGACAGTCGTACCATGCCCCACCAACCTACCCTAATCAACTGACCACCATACGTTTAGCGGAGACAGTCGTACCATGCCCCACCAACCTACCCTAATCAACTGACCACCAAACGTTTAGCGGAGACAGTCGTACCATGCCCCACCAACTTACCCTAATCAACTGACCACCAAACGTTTAGCGGAGACAGTCGTACCATGCCCCACCAACCTACCCTAATCAACTGACCACCAAACGTTTAGCGGAGACAGTCGTACCATGCCCCACCAACCTACCCTAATCAACTGACCACCATACGTTTAGCGGAGACAGTCGTACCATGCCCCGCCAACCTACCCTAATCAACTGACCACCATACGTTTAGCGGAGACAGTCGTACCATGCCCCACCAACCTACCCTAATCAACTGACCACCAAACGTTTAGCGGAGACAGTCGTACCATGCCCCACCAACCTACCCTAATCAACTGACCACCAAACGTTTAGCGGAGACAGTCGTACCATGCCCTACCAACCTACCCTAATCAACTGACCACCATACGTTTAGCGGAGACAGTCGTACCATGCCCCACCAACCTACCCTAATCAACTGACCACCAAACGTTTAGCGGAGACAGTCGTACCATGCCCCACCAACCTACCCTAATCAACTGACCACCAAACGTTTAGCGGAGACAGTCGTACCATGCCCCACCAACCTACCCTAATCAACTGACCACCAAACGTTTAGCGGAGACAGTCGTACCATGCCCAACCAACATGCCCTAATCAACTGACCACCATACGTTTAGCGGAGACAGTCGTACCATGCCCCACCAACCTACCCTAATCAACTGACCGCCAAACGTTTAGCGGAGACAGTCGTACCATGCCCCACCAACCTACCCTAATCAACTGACCACCAAACGTTTAGCGGAGACAGTCGTACCATGCCCCGCCAATCTACCCTAATCAACTGACCACCAAACGTTTAGCGGAGACAGTCGTACCATGCCCCGCCAACCTACCCTAATCAACTGACCACCAAACGTTTAGCGGAGACAGTCGTACCATGCCCCGCCAACCTACCCTAATCAACTGACCACCATACGTTTAGCGGAGACAGTCGTACCATGCCCTGCCAACATACCCTAATCAACTGACCACCAAACGTTTAGCGGAGACAGTCGTACCATGCCCCGCCAACCTACCCTAATCAACTGACCACCATACGTTTAGCGGAGACAGTCGTACCATGCCCAACCAACCTACCCTAATCAACTGACCACCAAACGTTTAGCGGAGACAGTCGTACCATGCCCCACCAACCTACCCTAATCAACTGACCACCATACGTTTAGCGGAGACAGTCGTACCAAGCCCGCCAACCTACCCTAATCAACTGACCACCATACGTTTAGCGGAGACAGTCGTACCATGCCCCACCAACCTACCCTAATCAACTGACCACCAAACGTTTAGCGGAGACAGTCGTACCATGCCCCGCCAACCTACCCTAATCAACTGACCACCATACGTTTAGCGGAGACAGTCGTACCATGCCCCGCCAACCTACACTCACCAAGCCGGCTCTGAATGTGCTCCATGTCGGATTTAGATTCGTATTTGTTTTGGAGGTTGCCCTTCTGCCATATCTTACTTTATAGTAAATTCCAGTGCAATATGGAAATTTGATCAGCTACAAAATAAAATGTTAAAGGTTTGGAATTAATTTAAACCGAACGCAATGGACGGGGAAGTTGAGGAGTAATGACTTTCCATCATAATTAAGACAGCGTTGACAGGTCTCGGTAACCATACAGTCCAACACATTTGTAGGTTTAATTCATTCGCATAACAATAACAAAAATATGTGAAACTTGACTGCGGATCAGGTTGTCCGCTTAGTGTTTCACTGCATCCCCCATGCTAAACAAATCCTATATCACTGGAATACTGTTAAAAGCGGCGTTAAACCCAACTAACTCCCTCACTCACCAACACTGGTGGCCCCATACCTATATGCACGTTTACAATAATTCGTTAGGAACAGATTTGCTTAACGCTATTTCTAGCCCGTTGATGTCAAGCTTGGCTGAGTCTGCTTTACACTGGTAAGGATTGGCTCGTCAGTGTTGGAGAGGGGCATGGGAGAGAAGGGTGTTAATGTCATGCACCGACGGCGCCTTACTACCGGACATGGCGCATCCATTGTGACAGAAAATCAGTATGGGAGAGTGCGTTGCTCTATTGCGGACAAGAACGATGACAGGGGCACTTGGTACAACACATACAGTCACAAATGTATAATATGAACTGTTACAGGGTTATTGCAACAAGACGAATATATATTTGTGAAATATGTCATATGTATTTCGGTTCCTGTGGATCAGTGGAGTAAGGTGCTGTTTAAATTAAAAACATGCGGGGGTAATATTTCGAAACATTCGACGGCGACTAAACATATCTACTTGATATCAGCAAAACTTTCATGTATTCTTAGTATTTGTATGCTTTCCTTGGCTTTAGTTAATCGACTTAATGTTTTTGAATGGTGGTGACAATCGATAGCCGTAAAGGCACAATGATAATTTGTCCAAGTCGCTTTAATGTTTTATCCAAAGTAATGTCAAGTTATCAAATATGTTGTCTGAACCTGAACAGCAGTTCAGTCGCGGCGAGTTCAGGTGCAGCGAGATAAGGCGGAGTTACCTGCTGCGTCAACAGTCTCTGATCTGCGATCTCAGAACCCTGGAGTAAGACCCAAGGCCAGGCAGGTTATCCCAGACTCGTTGCACAAGCAAACGGGAATATGGCTTCATATCGCAAACGTTACTTTGATCCTAAAACAGAACCCTAATGTATGCATTGAATGTTGTAAGTTCGTACTAATGGCGTATTGGTCTTCAGCAACCTATGCTTGTCGTAAGAGGCGACTATTAAACTGATCGGGTGGTCAGGTTCACTGACTTGGCTGATATAGCCTTGTCTGGTCTGGTCTAGACTCGATTATTTACCGACCACTGCCATATAGCTGGAATATTTCTGAGTGCAACGCGTTAAACAACGAAGAAACTAATGATGTACTAACAGAATTTCTTTAAAATGAGGCTGGGATGAATTCACATTTTACATAGTGTAAAAAAAAGCAAAAGCCAATGATTTATTACAAAACAACCTCCAAGAAACTCCATTTTCTACAAACTTTTTTCGAGCTATGTAAAACTTAATGTTATATTTGCCGTAATAATCGATGCAACCAGAGATCCTCCAGTGACAATGAACCTGCGGGTGTATTGAAGTAGCCATGTTGAGCACACTCCGTCCCTCAGTACAACATGCTAGAAGATGTTGTGATCAATAAACATGGACGAGGTTACCTAACGCTTAGAAGAAGTCATTCAGACATCACAAGCTAAAACGTTGGTTTATGTACACTAGTGCCTATTTTCTCTCACAAACTGACAGGCCAGATGTTGTACTATATTTTATGAATGGCACATTTTCATTTTGACAGGGCATGATGGATATCTAAGCATCTATTTTCGAGTAACCTACATTTCACTGTTGATACTAATGTACAGACCGTATGCATTCATCGACAATTTGTGATTTTCGTGGGATCATTGTGTATGGTTATTCATAACAGAAATCACAGACATGTGGTTGTTGCGTTTATTATTCAAAGGGGTTTATTTCCACTTCTCTGTCTATATATGTACATCTTAGTCTTGTCGAAATGTATTAAGATTAAAAAAAACATGAACAAAAGTACTTGAGGCAAGCCATCAATCTCATAACCCACGACATTGGTATTGGAACTGTCTTCAGTGACATGCTTTACTACAAATTTCAAGTGGCAGGAATCAGCAAGTACATTGGCATAAAGGGGCACAACATGACAGATGTCCACAGATGTTGGATGGTACCATAATGCATATATGTGTCAATGAACTACTTGCATGTTATAACCCTGGGGGGGATTCCAGGTTTGAATAGGTCCCCAGTAAGAGGTGACCAAATGGATCGGGTGGTCAGATTCGGTGACTTGGTTGATGGCGTTTCCTTCAATTAATTTTTCGTTAATTCAATTATTTCCTCGAAATAAGCAGTTCTTGAAATAACGAGAAAATAATAAAAGAAACGAGAAATAAACTCTAAATTTCGAGAAAATAACTGAAATAACGCGAAAATACTCAAAGTAATGAGAGAAAAAGTAAAATTTCGAGAAAATAATTGAAATAACGAGAAGTAAAGAGAAATGATTCGAAGTTTCGATTTTTGTAAATAAATTCAAAATAACGAGAAAATAATCCAAGTAACAAGAAAATTGGAAATTTCAAGTTTTTGAATAACTTGAAATAACGAGAAAATAATCAAAATGTAAAAAAAATAAACAACTCATTGAAACAACGAGAAATTTCGATTTAAAAATATATATATATGTTTCAAAAGTGGCATCATAAGGCTTTCCTACAATCTTGGTACTGTTTAATACTGTGTTAAATTCTTTTTCCAGGCGTGTTCTTCCTCTGTTGGGGGCCGTATGTGATCCTGAACTTCTGGTCAGTTAACAATGAACACATCCCCGTGCCATATTTGGCTGACCTGTTGACCACCCTCCTGGCCTTCACCAACAGCTCCGTCAACCCAATCATCTTCATCCTCCTCAACAAGGACTTGCGGAACGTCATCAGGAAGCTAGGACGCCGACTACTCTGCTGTTTGTCGTCAAGCAGTAGTTCTGCTGAACACTCCGACTTAGTGACGTACGTGGTGGAGAAGAGCGAGCACAGGTCCCGAGCTTCATCACGGCCTAGAAGCCAACAGGTCACACTCACTGGCAGGGATCTTATTCACACGGAGCATACAACAGAAAATAACATCAGTTTTCACTTGGCTGATGTTGAGAGTGACGAGTTCAGGACAGAGCGGGAGAAGACTTTGAGGGAACAGTATGACAGCAGAACTGCCATGCTGACTCTCCCTGGTGTTGTGTGACATGACAGGACATGACATGACATGGTTCTTGTTGTTTTTAATTTTAGAGACTGTCAGGAATTAAGTGACCTTGTTCGAAATGTGCCTCTGTTCACCCAGCATTACAAATTGGTACCGGGTGGGATGAGATAGAAATGTGACTGTTAACCTTCTAGGTTGTATGTTTCCCAGGGAGCAGAGAATGAAAATAGAGTGCACACTGATCCAATGACAGGGGGTAAGAATGTTAGCACTTTGAGCATGCACGAGTGTATGGAGGCTAGCTAAATAAAAGTACCCTATATTATTATTATTTAATACAGATTAAAATATAGAACGCAGCAAAGAGGGTTTAGATCCTGGCAGTCAGGCTGGTTGGGCTCATCATCAGCTCAGGGCCCTTGCCCCCTCTACATGCAGCCCAGACCGCGCAAGAGACTTCTCCCAGGAAACGCTGCCTAGTCTAACCCACCGAGAACTTTTTGGAGAATGTGAAGACTCTCCAACACTGCAGCCTTCTGCATTACCCAGATTGTCAGAGTGAGTGAGTGAGTAAGTTTTGCTTAACGCCGCATCAGCAATCTGGCAGCTATTCGCGGCATAGGTTGTCAGAAGGGCTGTATCCCTGATAGCAAACCAGGGTACACTCCGAATTTAAGTCAACAAATTGGGAGGTACCAAACCTAAGGCACCGAGAACAATGGGGAGTCGGACAACTTGGTACTTGGGATGTTAGTGTGACATTTCAAAAGCGAGGTCTGCAGATTTGCCATGTTTTTCCTGAATCTTGTCAATCACATTAGCATCAAAAGGGACAGAAAATTCAATGATATAAATGATTTCATTGGATTTATCAAAAAGGACAAGATCAGGTTTGTTGGCCTGGATACGTCTGAGGCTGTAAATGGGCCTATTCCAAATAATTTTGGATATATCATTTTCCATGACGCCCTCTACATATTCTGGGTCGTACCATGGATGGACCTCTGTGTCAAAACCACAAGCATTATTATTAACATTATTATTATTATTATTATTCAATAAAAAAAACCTGGTGAACTGACATTTCAAGTAATTATTTTGAGAGTACTGGTTTGAAACCTGAAGCTGAATCAAGTAAAACCATATTCATAATATTGTTATGTAGTTTCCAAGTTGTTGCCTTACAATAAAATATTGTCCCTTTGGATATTCATAAATCGTATTTACAACAATACAACATGGGGTGTATAATATTATACATGTCACTACAACTGCAGATTTTCTCTTCATAATGTGAACTAGACATGTTTTAACAGAGGTATATGCATACACCCTTTAGTACAACATAGACCACACAAACCAAATGTGGCACTCAGTTTCACCTAACAAAAACAAAGAAGCTCTATTTTCCATTGGGTAAGTTGTTTTATTGATATGTGTGAATAAAAATGTCACATCTTAGTATCACATTATCAGCTTCATAAAATCATGTATAATGAAATGTACCTTACAATGTATATATCAAAATAAAGTTATTTAAAAATAACAAATATTACCATGCTGTATTTTTGTCTTTGACATTGACATATAAACAAAATGAAACAATAACTATCAATTTTGTACAAATATTTGACAATGCATACACACCATCCAGTAGTTAAACTGAACACTTTATTACTGTGTGTGACAAGCAGCTTTGAATAAATTCCATAATAGTCTACTTGTCTATTGCATACTAACAAACAAAACAAGAGGATATCACAGAATATTGGACGGATGTTTCACAGGTTCACCCCCAACTGACCGACTTGTGTACTCTTATGGCCACCTTGGTGATAGAAACAATAAATATTTGTCAACACCATCAGACAGTCAGAACAGTGTTATAACATGGCACATGTCCAAGGACAACATGTGTTCTTGAGTAACCCAGAAACTGACAAAACAGTTCCTGAGGAATGACATAACACAGACAACATGACAGACATGTCAAATGAACATGCTAGTGAATCAATGATTTGTGATTATTGTCACATAAGCAGTATTCTATTCCTTGACTGCAGTATAGCACAGACATGATTGAAGCACTGCTGACATGAATACCCACATTTTGCATTGATCCCATGTTTGGGGACTGATCAGGATCTCGACTTACCACTGTTGTGTATTGATTAGTATATGAAAACTCATTAACTCCCTTTTGGATTTTCTGGACAATAGGTCTAGACTGCTACATTGTTCTGTGATTATCTAATCAGATCATGATGTTTTAACACAGTCTTTTTGTCTGAATAATCCTGCTTGCTTAGCATCAGTCAGTCATACCCTGATCCTGGAGATATGCAACCTTTCATTCTTTTCATCAGATCTTAGTTCTCCCTATTGCAAAAAAACAACGTGAGGACATCATATTACATGTCATAATGACCTTTCATCCAACCAATTAGAGCCTCGTTTACCAGATTAGGAAAGTTACAGTCGGTATGTGTTTTCTAATCATGCAACTTCAGAAAGTGAGTGAGTGAGTTGCGTTTAACGCCGCTTTCAAAAGTATTACAGTTATATCACTGTGTGTAAGTGATGCAGGTCTCAGACGTTTACCACTTTGGTGAAACCCACGAGCACGGGTATGGTGCTGACAAACCGAGAAACATAATCGAGGCGAACCAGGATTCGAACCCACAATCATAGGTCTCTGGCATAGCCAAGGGATGCAACTCTGCACAGCAAATTGACGTCTTAGACGACTGGGCCACCCCTACCCCCCAACTTCAGAAAGGTTAACAGGGGGTATTCAGAACCCTGTACGACTGATTCCATCAAATCATAGTCTTTTAGTATCTCTCGCTTCAATGGGATAAAGATTTGATACGGAAGAGATGTCGCATAGCCTGTTGGAAGTACTGCCATACAACCTCGACCATATATTTGATATTCCAGAATATTGTTTTGTTCAGTTTTCAAATTTTGAATCGTGAACATTGTTAAGATATTTTTGAAGCATAGTCTGGAAATGAAGTCGCCATCTTTGAAACTAGTGCTGTATAGCTTGAGAAAGCTAGTATCTGATTGGCTGATGTCGACTTCTTGTTAGTCATTTCATTGGTCTGTCAAAGTTTGCGAAAGGTCGTTCTGACATGACCTGTTATGGAATGTCCTCGGGTCCTCAGTGGTAGCAAGAACTAAAATCTGACTTTAATGAGATTGTTCTTTTATCTGGTCTGCCTTGATAAGTAAAAGGAACCTTGTTTTCTTTACTGTGCATTTCCTCATAATTCTTCACTAAATTGATGTTCTTTTTTCTAATTCAATCTATTTGTTTGGAAGACAATATCATATTACTCCCACAAAAGTTCAATATTAATTCTCTATGGCAATGTGGAATGGAGACAAGTCTAGTTAAATCACTGTGAAACTATGTCTAGTATGTGTGACACAGTGTGCACCTCAGTGGAGCAGCAAGGTGACCATTGCAGTGTGTGTGGAAGATGTGATGATGCCTGGAGAGAAGCCTCGTCACTTGCGTCTTGTCCTCACTTTACTCAGACTCCTCTCAGTCATCAGAAGTGCATCCTCTTTAATCCCCAACTGGTGACGCAGTTTCACAATTTCCTGTTTGTACCTGCAGCAGATGGATGCTTCATCAGGACCAAGTCATATACCTCCCTGGATCAGTTCTTACTTATCAGTCTGACTCAACACCAGGTACACACACACCACTCACCTGACTGACTCTCCTGGAGCTGTTCTCTCAGGATGTTGTTCTCACTCATCAATCTGGCTCAACATCAGTTACACAACACTCACCTGGCTAGACGGTTGTCTATATAGGACTGACTCTCCTGGAGCTGTCCTCTCAGGATGTTGTTCTCACTCATCAATCTGGCTCAACATCAGATACACAACACTCACCTGGCTAGACGGTTGTCTATATAGGACTGACTCTCCTGGGCCCACTTGCACAAAGCGATCTTAGCGCTAAGATGATCGTAACTCCCATACTTTAACATAGGCTTACGATAGTCTTAGCGCTAAGATCGCTTTGTGCAAGTGGGCCCTGGAGCTGTTCTCTCAAGACGTTGTTCTCACTCATCAATCTGCCTCAACATCAGTTACACAACACTCACCTGGCTAGACGGTTGTCTATATAGGACTGACTCTCCTGGAGCTGTCCTCTCAGGATGTTGTTCTCACTCATCAATCTGCCTCAACATCAGTTACACAACACTCACCTGGCTAGATGGTTGTCTATATAGGACTGACTCTCCTGGAGCTGTTCTCTCAAGACGTTGTTCTCACTCATCAATCTGGCCCTCTCGTCCTCCAGGTTTTGTTGTGTGGTCAGTGTGTACTCCCGCAGGTGCTTCCGGATGTTGTTCCAGTCACCAAGACTAAAACATATAAAAAACTCTGAATGGTGCATGAAAAACAAAGCCAAAGCTACTCAGTATCAAAACTATATTACTGTTTTGACTGGGCAATGGGAGATGGGTTTTATGACATTCTTTCAGTGATGTCATGAGAGAGGAATTAAACCAAGAAAGGGGTTCATGCATGTGGAGGCCCGAGACAACAACCCCACCACATGACCTACACACCTGGTTGCAGCAAAAGCCCAATTATACATGTATCATGATCACTGGCTAGGGTGCAGCATATCATGACATTATTAACTTCAGCATCTATTTCTTGAAGTATTTGAGCCAATAAAATGGGGGTGTTTCTCAAGTATAAAATAAAGCATACCTATAACACTGTTAAGACTTTTAGAACAATAGTTATACATTCAATTACTCAATGTAACTATACAATTACTTACTTGACTTTACCATCTCTATCAAAGACACCAAACTGCAATAAATAAATTCTGTTAGTAATAATAATTTCATGAAACATTGATGGAAACAACACAGAAATTTTTTTTAATTTGAAGTTTACACGATATACAGCTTTTCCATTGGACTAGAGGTCGGTCACATGACCGCGAAATTGACGTTCATAAGTGTATGAACGACACAATTTGACGTTCATACGTTTTTCACGAGACCGTGTTCTTGAAATGGCGTAAACACTGACGGACTACTTCCACATTCCTGGGGAAACCCCTGGGATTTCCCTAGCACAAAAACATACATAAGTATTATTTCTGATCATTTAGAACCTTTTATCTTGGTCTCAGCCTTTCAGTATACATTGAGAAATGTGAGAGAGCTTGACTGCATGATTGTTTACGAATTTCCTCGCTACGGCCCATCCTAATGAAAAAATGCACATCCAAACTATCATCAGTATCGACTCGATCTGTGTCTAGGCTGACAGTGACCGTCTCCAGCAATCTACGAATTTACCTTGGTGTCTGTTTGACGCATCTTTAATCACCTTTCTCTAATCGGTCAGTTGATCAATGATGACTAACACATGTAACCGCCACAGGTTCATTAACAACTTCGGAAATCATCCCGTCACGTTTATCGTGTCAGCCATTTTGACGTTTTGTACTTGATGTAAATGTATTACGGCGCGCTGTCTTTGTGACTGACTTACTGAGGTAGTTCTTTACAGACCTTTATCATCTAATGGTGTTATTATTTGAACACATGTGTTGCGTAAGATGTTTCTGAAGAGCAAGTTGTGCATCCATACACCCATGTCACCTCTCTTTTTGAGGAACTATTTTACTCCGCGATATAGCTGGTTGTTGTATGGCTTTCAGTGTAAACATGAAGTCACACATACTAAATATAATTGTGTTTAGATCTTGGCCTACATCCTTTGAGGTAAGAAATTGTGATAAAAAAATTATAAGAATTGACTTTCACTTTGTGTGAGTTCATTGGATTCGCAAGCTCCGACGTTCATACAGTTTGGCCCTCACTCTAGGAAGGTTCATACTCCAATGAACTCACACAAAGTGAAGGTCAATTCTTAAATATTGGCAACTGCTTTATCCCCATGACTTAATGATGCACATTTGTTTTTATAATTGCACATGTACAAAGTCTAAGACTGGTAAATTTTAACAGTAACCTAACATAAGAATATGAGATACTGTCAGACATGATATTGTTCAATTATAACACAGTTGATCATAGTAGGCCATCCACGTTAGTTTGTATGTTGCATATCTTGGTGGAGCTACACAGGGAGTGGGAGAAAAGAAAAAGAATGTCTTCAGTTAAAAAAAGCAAACTGATATTGTTACTTGTACCTGTTATTTTAGATATGTTCAAAAACAGTTTGCAATTTGATCATTATTATACTATATTCCAAGTACAACAGTTGCTGCAATCAAGAAGTCAGACCATCAGTCAGACCACCCATTCCTGACTGATGCCGTTTTCACCAAGCATCGGCCGCTGAGGAGCAATTCTAACCTGGATCTACACAGGATCCTAGTTATTCAGCAGGATGGTACTGCAGGAGCAGCGAGAGAGAGGAAAGACAGTAAAGATTCTAGATGGCCTCACTATCATCATGGTCAGTTAACTTCTTTGAGAGGCATTGGTACATTTTTCACTCTACTGTACCACATTTGTCTTTTCAGTTGATGACAAAGGTGACCAGATCAAAGGCATTTGACTATACACGTTCTTGGGAATTATTAATTTGTAACCATCAACGCAATATTTAGCTTTTAGTTTTTGTAGGATATAAGTATCTAATCTAGTCATTCATTGTTCAAATTAACAAAATCAGCCAAAATGGATTTTCAAATTGGTCTAAAAAAAGAACCTGAAAACATGTCAAATCCCCATAAGAACAAGACTTACTTTGACCTTGAGTCCATCAAGGTCGTTGCGGTAGTTGTTGAGCTCACTCTGCAGCCGGCCGATCTCCTTCAGATGAGCTGACTGGATCTCCCCATCTGTTAGGTTGATGGCCAGAGCATCTGGACCCATGTCCACTGTGTCAATGCCTCGGTTCTCACACGTCTGGCGCAGGTTCCTGCAAGCCACAGAATGATTATAGTGTGATGCTGTCTTCATGTAGAGAGGGTGAAAAAAACATCACACATCAAAGTGTCTTACCCTTTCTAACTGTTTTACATCTCTAATGGAGAATGAAAATAACCAGACATCTGACCATAGCTTCCAAAGCTCCATAAAAATCTATACAGAGAGAGATATACAATTTGTCAGAATTAAAACAAATGAAGTTTACTGAGAAAACAATGTGTGAAATCAGCCAAATAAAACACCAGTGCACTTATAATCTTCAACATGTTCAAAGAATAAGAAAGATGGTTGTACCGATGCACCTAAAAAAATCAAAATATCAGAAATAAAAAAATCATGACAGTTACTTTGATGTGAAACAGGTGCTACAAACCATGAGACACAAACAAATACACCACTGGGGCTTCCAAACGACCTGTGCTGGTCGTAAGAGGCGACCAAATGGATGGGGTGGTCTGGTTCAGTGACTTGGTTGACTGCATGTCATCGTACATATGGACTGTTGTTCACAATATCGATCACTGAATTGTCTGGTCCAGACTCAATAATTTGCAGGCCGCCAGTGTGGTGTAAAACAACAAACAAACAAATACATTAAACTCTTGAACATAACCTCCTTCCCGGAATCACTGGTTAGGACATGGGGAGAATCTGCAGTAGTTACCAGTGAGCTACAAGTGCCTCTTCATATCTCCTGTTGGCTTTCTTCAGCCTGGCCTTGAAGCTCTGAGCGGCATGGCTGAGCTGGTCTTCCCGCTCTCTGTGAGACCTCTTTATGTCCTTCATCATACCATCAGCATACTCCCGCATCTTGGTCACATGGGCCTCCCCAGGCACACCGCTGCCCTTGTCCACATAGTCCTGCATCAACATTCAGCACACATTGGTGGTATATTGTCAGTGGGAGGCCCCCATTGAGGGAGACACTCAGTAAATACTAACTGTACCCATCACTTAGTGATCAAGGTAAACTGTATCATGATGATGGGTGCTGCTGTGGCTGCTTAACATGGGCAACATAAGTTCACAGGTTTGCAAACTCCATAAAGTCTGCAAACTTGCATTTTAACTCCACAAATATGTTGTTGATACTTAGTTCCTTTTCTTCTAATATCAAAGGCTGATGCTTTTTCCTAGCTGACATAAGTAAAAATCATGTGATATCTACACAGTATCTGATTGGCTGAACGTGACCAATATGTTTGACAGCCATTCACACGTCAAAATCAAGTTTGAAAACACTAAAATGTTGGCCATAATATTGGTCACAAATAGAGACTGATTATATTTCTCACCAACAGTTAATCAAACTTAACAAATTGGTGTGCAAACTGTTTTGCAATGTTCATACACAAATCTATGTTTGTAAACGCTAATCATCAAACTTTGAAGCGTGTGAAGCCACCTTTGGATATTCCATGCACACAGTTTGACAACCTACTGTTAATGAGTTGTTCATCAGATAACTAGGAGAATGGATGTTCCAATTGTCTAAGAAACAGTCATTTTCTGTGCAGAGTTGCAACCCTTTAGGTACGCCAGAAACCTTTAATCATGGGTTCAAATCCAGTTTCTTGATTCATCAACACTTTACCTATGCTCATGGGTTTCACCAAAGGAATAAACATCCATGGCCTACATCAATTCAGGCTTTGCTCCCAGAACAAGCTGACATGCCATAACATAACATGATATATTCTGTTCAAATCAGCGTTAAACCAAATTCTACCATGCACTTTGAACATACTCGATTCTGATTGCTTAATCAGATGTTTCAAATTGCAACTTACAGCAATGTCCTCCACATATTTGATGAGACGGAGTCGGAAGTCCTCTCCCTGGTCCTTGACCTTGTGTTGGAGTCGGTTACACTGAGTCTCCAGCATCTCCTTGTCTCCCTTCAGGGTGATCAGTTTCTGTCACACAATACCAGCAGCATCAGGCACCAATACAAGGCTACAAGTCCATGTCAGATTTGAATGCTATAATCCCAAAGGCTTTGTGTCATCTTCTATATATTTTATATCTTGAGCACAGTGTATGAATTATTTTCCAAAGTTCGCTGGCCAGAAGGGGTTCTTCACAAAAATGTTGCAAGCCCCCATCATATCTTACTAGCCTTATTTTATGGGCTGCCATTTTCAATATGTATAAATATAGTCTTTAGACTGTTACGCTAATATATGTTTGTCTGACCTTTGTGGTTGTTATTAGACTTTCACATGCATATGTAATAAAGCATGTACGTGAAATCAGTCATAATTAGTGTACAGCAAAAAAACAGTTTACAATGAATTACGAAATGATAACAAAATGACAATAGACTTTGACATTACATGATGCCTCAACTGACCAGATCATTCATAGAAAATACTAGGAAATAATAAATATTGAATTTTCAACTAGACAGTGGGGCCAGCTTTATGGAAATGTTACTAGTCCAACTTAAATGTCACCGGCATTTGGTTAGCGGCCAGGCACCCATTTTAACTTAACACATCCTAAAGATTAACTCTTTGATATTATACCATTCTTTTCCCCTATTTCCCATCTATACGTGCAGATGAGTTGTGTTTAACCTGCCATCATGTCTAGCAGCTCAAAAAAGTTCAACTGAAAAGTCCATTGTGTGAAAAATAGAAACAATCTACTGTAATTGTGAAAGTGAAAATTTCAAACATCTGAATAAACAGTACTTCACTGCAAGTTTCTTACCTGCTGTAAAGTGTTCACAAGAAACAGTTTCATCCTGTGCTACTTACAGCATTGATTTCTGATATCTTGTGTTGTCTGTCTCGGGCCAGGTTCCTGGCATCCTGGAGCTCCTTGATCAGCCCGGTGCTGGAATAACACAGTGTCTAGTTACAGTAGAGGGGACAATCACTTACACTATAACTAAACTACATCATGATGCAGTTAATAAATGCACAGCCCACCGGTATCAAATTAGGTGAAGTTAAGCAATGTCAGTCGCAGAGAGTCCTTGGATGGGTGACCGTGTTTTGCCAGCTTGGCTCCTGAGAGTTTCTAGGACTTCAGTCCTGCCCCACACTGAAGCACACGTGACACGTGGCGTCTCCTTGGGCAAGTGCCTTTGTTCGAAATGTGCCTCTGTTCACCCAGCAGTGGATGGGTACATGGAAGGATGAGATGGCAATGTGGTTCTAGCTCCAAACAGGCAGCTTGGGTTGTATACCTCCTAGGGAGCTGAGAATGAATGTTGAGTGCACCCTGACCCAGTGACCGGGGCAATAATGGCATTATGAGCATGCCCCTGTGTGGTGTGGAAATATGCACAATATAAATGGCCTATCATTATCTCTATGGTTTACCAAGAAACTAACGACACACTAACTCAGCATTACTTGAAGCAGATATCATTGTCCATCCTCTGCCTCACTGACAATGTTGACAAAATCCCCTGTGTTGTTGATGCCAGTGCCCAGTGTCTTATGTCCTAACTACATGTATGTACACGAGCTATGGCCACTGCTGTTGGGCTGTATTTTGAACATTCGTCACCACTCCCCCTTTCCGTAACCTGCAAGAAGACATGTCCCCCTATCGATGAATGTTATGTGTGAAAATACGACAAACCATCAGAATGCACGTATGATTTCAAGTTCTTCGTCAAAGAATCCCTCAGAAATAATTTTTGATTTTACATACGTCTTGCATCCAAAAATAAACTGAAGACACAGTTAAATGTGTTCAATCATACTGTATAATTCTGCATTTCCCGATGTGCTTTCAATTGCATCTGAAATATATATAATATATGGGGAAATATGTGAACCATTATGCAACGAGTTGACAATTGTTTTACTATTCGGCGTGTCCCAGAATAACACGAGTTGGTCACGAATGTGTGTTGAAGTGTGTCTATGAAGACAGACTCTATATGGCTGGTTGACCTAGTGTGTGTGTGTTACCAGTCAGTGCTACCACTACTCTTCACAAATATTCTATCTTCACAACCCTGTGCCAATAAGCTGCCAAACAATTCCTCATAGGGCGAGATTTTACATTTTTGTTTTATGGCTTCAGTTGAGGTGAAATGGGGTTTAAGATCACGTCCAAGATGATTGCACTTATATAGCGACGTGCATGCATGTGTGTGTGTGGCTGCTTGTACTAGTCGGGACGGATGCCGATTTATAGTGCTAGCACACTGAGATACCATGCCGCAGTTTAACATGAATACCCCACTCAGACACAGTATACTGACTCCGAGCCGACCAGTCCTTGTTTTAGCCCCTTAAAGCCGAGTGCCAGACAGGGTAACAACAAGTACCATCTTTTAATGTCTTTTGGTATGACGCAGCCGGGATCGAACCCCCGGCCTTCCGCTCTCTGGGCAGACGCTCTACCTCTAGACCACGGAGGCGTTTTATGGATTCAAAGAAACTTGGCACTAAAATGGTTAAGAACAATATTATTTTGATAACCATGTTTATAAAGCTATTCAAGAACTCTATGCAGCACTGTGAGGACACTGTAGGAATCTACCCCGGGTGATACATATGAAATCTGTTTCACACATATGCTCCTTGCTCTTTGTGAACCCGGGTTATGACATGCATGTCCAGGGCAAGTATACAATTCCTAAAGGACCAACTTGAGCACCTAAACATTCCTTGCCCATATCGATGGGCTTAGTATGAGTAAGCATAGCCTGGACCAAGAAAAGAGTAACTTTAACTAAAAGCTAACATATCACACATGTGTTCAATATAAAGAATACATACTGAATCAATCACAAATATCCCTAGATTAACTATTTACTCTGATGTAAGTAAATATGTCTTTGCTAATTCCACATGTTTTCTTCCATGGAAGCAGACTAAACTTGTTAGCCATCACACTCGTGCACATGAAAGCCATGAAACTGTGCTATCATTAGCTATCATGAATCAACGTGAAAACCACATTTACTCAACCAGTCACTGACATAGGAAGAGGTTAATGGATGTCAACTTCTTTAGGATGAGGAACACAACATTTTTTTTTGAGTATATGCTTACTCCTTCATCAGGTGAATAAATGCTATGAAGCAGAGAACATATATATGTAAAACCAACATGTAAAACCAACGAAAGTAATAAGATAACAAAGGTGTTCTTACGGTATATATATCGGTATATATATATATATTTAGTATTGTGACGTCATAGTTCTCCAAATATATATATATACCAGTAAGAACACCTCTGTTATCTTATTACTTTCGTTGGTTTTACAGGCACATATATACATGTCTGTTCTCTGCTTCGCCTGAGGAAGGAGAAAGTATATACTCCAAAACGTTGTGTTCCTCATAATGAAAAAGATGACATCCATAAATTCTCTTCCTCAAGTGTATCACTTCTAAATGCCATTCAAAGACTCAGTGAATATTGCTAAAAAAATGTCACAACAATTTAAATTTGAATAATAATGATTACTAGAAGAACAATGTCAACATCATTAATGGCCTTACTACCCCGTGTTCTAGAACATGTGGAAATAGACTGGGGACAATCATCACATGATCCAGAGTATCAGATAAAACATCCAAATCATTATATTGCATTGTCCTCAACATGAAAGCCACCATGACAAAGAGATGGCAATGAGATAGGTGGGATGACATGATCCACCAGTCAACACTGTACAGTTCCACACTGTCTATGAGTGCTGAGTTGCAGACTTTCACAGAGATCTATTGCTCTCTGTCACAGTGACATAGCTTTCAAACAGCCTCACAGCCATTCTGTTCAATGGGACAAGTTGCTGATTGCCAGGACAACCAATTAGTCAACATTGACGATGAGGATGATTGCTGGCTTTGTGTACTCAACTGATGGACTTGTCGTGAAATAGACGTGTTATGTATGATGATAGATGTGTTTGTGAACGTAACTTGATCCGGTAACGGAAGCTGGAGTGGGTATTCACATGATCGGATGATGATGGGTTTATAGTGACACTACCCCTGGATGGCTCAACACTTCATATACTCATCCAGTGTCTCCAGTTCAGTATGTCTAAAAGGTTCAAAAATACCAATATGTGCAAGTAACAATACATACTTACATATAACTTCAGTAATGTGGCGCCAAATCTTTAGTCTACTTGTGATTGAACATTAGTTTGATCACTAAACTTCACATAATTGTCTACTGAGTTTGTCAATATTCTAAAACTCAAATCAAACTGAGTCAAATTTTGGTTTGACACAAGATAATACACTTGGAGGTCGAGGGTGGAGGTGTTTCTTTTTGTCCCCGACATCTGTCTGTGTAGAAGAGATAGTCAGTAAGTATGGGGTTTTACACTGCTTTCAGCAGTATTCCAGTAACGTAACTTGTCCTGATGTAATAGGAAAGGCCATTCATTACAATAGATTTCCATCAATATTTTTCAAAAATTTCAGGCATTTTTTTTTATCTATGTATTTAAACAAACTGTTCAAGGGATCAGTGTATGTTAGCTGTGATTCACATGACATAGTTCCAAATGTCCCACTTGAGCATGACAAACAATAAAATCCAATCACATCATACTTCATCAGTTAGTGAGTTTTAACTGCAGACAAATGTTCATATATTTAGGTGATGTTGCCACATGACACGAATAGACATTAGCTTGATTAAGACTCGCTGTGTACTCTGAAACACTGAACTGGTATTGAGCTAAGTTAAATAAAATATCTGGATCTGGAATAGTTTTCTATTTGATGTGATGATTGCCGTGGTGACAGTTTTTTAAAATATTTTTATGTAAGGCACTGTAGCTCACCTGAATATTTGACATAACTTGCAGAACAGAAACAGCCCACATTAATGCATGTCCCCCAGCAAGCTGCCTGGGTCCAGTGACAGAACGATGTGACAGGAAGTAGGATCATCATTGATAACACCTTTTGACTGTTTCAAATTCAAATCAGAATTCAGTGAGCACCATTTTGAGGTGCCATTGTTGGGATCATGTGCACAAAGTTTTAGAATTATAGGATACCGGGTATGTGTTTTCACAGGTGAGCTACAAACTATATGACTTACAAAGTAGTCCTTAAATACTCCACCTTTCCAGACAGTACACACACAATGACATCCACTTATAAAGTCATTATCCCTGTGCACTATCTGTGGTTAACATCATCACTGAACCATGCAAATAGCATCCCTTCATCCTTTAATCCACTGACTCCGATTGGCAAACCGTTGAAATATCAACAACCTCAGATGACATTTGGTGTCATTTATACAGTGCCAGTTGAGGGAGTTTATTGCAAAAGTCAACTCACTGACCCAGAGTTCTCAGTGTTGATCACAGATGGACAAGGTATTGATTTCCACTTGATCTGAACAGGGAAGTGTAAAAGCTGCAGCTTGATTGCCACGCTCTCCCTAGCACTGAGAACAAAGCATTGGTATTTGATTGCTTTCAGTCATGGAGGTGTCACTGTCATAACCAAGACAAAACAGTGAGCACCATTAACTGGTGTTTATTCGTACTGGAGTCATGCCTTATTTATCAAAGAGCATTTACAGCCACTGTGTGATGACTCCAGAGAATGTGGCGCCAGTAATTGCTTCACACATTGATTTCACATGATTTGGGCAGGAACTCCAAATGAAAGTGGGGTAATTTTGGCTATGGATATTCAAATACTTATTCCGGACAACAAAAAAGTGCTTTGAATTGATTCCATCAATTCTGTTTACAACTTGTAATCTGAGAATTCACGTTGTATATTTGAAGATGTTTCTTGATTGTATGCTGGTAGTGTTCTATTTTTCTCAACACAAGTTCTGGAAATAAAAAATTAATAACAAAAGTCCTGAAGACAAGCATTC